TAACTAATTATAAATGTAAAGGTTTATATCTGAACTTTTGGTTCAATTAAATTGATTTATGTCTATCCTTGTGCTACTACCACACTGTATGGTTTACTAGAATCTTATAGCAAGTTTTGAAAGTGAGAAGTATGGGTTCTCAAATTTTGTTTTGCTTGGTTATTCTATGTCCTTTGAAATTCCATGTGAATTTTTAGGAACCTTCTGTCAATTTCTGCAAAGAAGTCTTTTGACAGAGATTACATTTGCTATGGACTGAATTATGCCAATTCCAAGACTCAAATGCTGAAGTCCTAACCTCCAATGTGATTATGTTTGGAGATGTAGACTTTGTGATAATTGGGTTCAAATGAGAATTTGTACCCTTACAACCAGAGAGCTGTCTATCTGTCTTCTTCTCTCTCTGCCAGGCAAAGACAGCAAGATGGTGGTCATCTGCAAGTCAGGAAGAGTCCTCACCAGAACCCAACCATAATGTCACCTTAATCTTGGACTTCCCAGTTTATAGAAATGTGAGAAGATAGGCTGGGGTGGAGAAAGAAAGTGAATTTCTGTTGTTTAAGCCACCCTGTTGTCTATAGTATTTTGTTATGAGCTGTGACAGCATTAAGTCTGTAGATCCCCTTGAAGAGAATAGCTGTCTTAACAATATTAAATCTTCTGATTCATGAACATGGGATGACTTTCCACTTGTTTAGGATTTCTTTAATTTTTTATAGTTGTTATAGTGTAAGTTTTGCACCTATTTGTTAAATTTGTTTCTGTGTTTTTATTTTTAAAAAATCTTTCCATGTTTATTTCTTAAATTAATTAATTACTTAATTATTTTTAGCAGTCATATTAATTCAGAATTTTATTTTCAGGAATTTGAATATCTTGCATCATTTATACCTTAAAATAGTATGGTATTGTAAATCAAATTTTTTTCTCAATTTTATTTTCAGGTTGTTCATTGCCAGGGCATAGAAATAACAATTGATGTTGGTATGTTGATCTTGTGTCTGGAAATCTTGATTAATCTGTCTATTAGTTCTCATAGTTCCTTAGTGTATTCCTTAGGATTTGCTATGTACAAGATCATGTATGCCTTCATTTTTGATTTGGATGCTTTTTACTTCATTTTCTTATCTAATTAACCTAGCATGAAACTTCAGTGTACTGTTAACTAGGGTGGTGAGATCAGACATCCTTGTCCTGTTCTTGATCTTAAAGGGAAACACATTCAGTCTTTCACCATTAAGAATAATGTTTATCTGTATCTTTGCCTTTGTTCTAGAAAGATAGTTTTGCTGAATACATAATCCTACTTTGACAGTTTTTTTTCCAGAATATTAAAGATATTATTCCACCATTTCTTGTTTCTTTGTTGCTATCAAAAGTTAGCTGTCAGCTTATTTACCATTCATATGCAGATGATCTGTTTTTTGTCTCTGGCTATCTTTAAGATTATCTCTTTATTTTTTGATGATCTGAGGTTTCTCTCTGATGTGTGTAGGTATGTTTCTTTTATATTTTCCTGCAAGGTTTTATTATATAGTTCTAATATAATGGTAGAAAATTTCAATAAACCAAGTCTTCAAGGTTCTGGTTCTCTCATTGTTTCTCCTGGTTCACTCTCCATTATGATTTGAATGTTTTTAACTGAGTTACTCATTTTCTTAATAACATTATCTATGGGAACATTTTAGGAGCCTGGAGTAAAGTTGAGTCTCTTCCACAAGGATTATTATTTGCCTCTGCCATTTGCCAACCATGTGACTTTCTTCTAAATTCTCCACTTTATTTAAAAAAAAATTTCCACCAAATGCACAGCATGAATATCATCCATGAATGATGTAGTGAAGAGAGAGTTTTGTACAAGTTTTAGCCCCCTCTATCCTGTGCCAAAATTGGGTCAGGCAAGTTTCTTTTCTGTCTTCTTCTCCAGGGTCAATTTATTTCTCACCCAGATTTCTGTGGGGGAAATCTCAGATTTACACTGAAGTCTCCTATTATATTCCCATTTGTCCAGGCTCTAGGATTTTCTTTATCTCCATGACCCATTTAGACATGAAGGTCAAAGCTCAAGGTCTCCAGGGTTCAACAAAACCCATCAGCATGAAACCTTGAACTGGTAGTCACACCAGGATTCCTCCTCTTTTTCTTTTCTTTTCTTTTTAACCTCTGCAGATTCCTTTCTTTCATGCCTGCACAGTATCATATGTTAAAAGGGTAGTAAAAGAAATACATATAATTTTAGAATTTCTAAATGAGGAGGCTGTTTAAGGTAACCCATCTCCTTACTGGTTACTGTTGGAAATCAATCTTCTATCCTTCGTTTTTCCTCTAAACAAGCTGACATGGAAAATATTCAGAAAAATGATGTCATCCTCCACCCATAAAATCTCCATGGAAAGAGATTCTACAACTTCCTTGTGGTAGATTGTCACAATGGCCAAATTATTCCCTTCTCTGCATTCACACTCTTGAAATCTGATATTGACTTGTTTGCCAAAGGCAGGACATTAACAGTGTGACATAGGCTAAGGCTTGAAAGGTCTGACCTACAAAGCCCACTCTCTTGTTGCACTTTAGAGCTCTGAGACCACTGTAAGAATGAGCCCAAGCCAGCATCTTCAAGGATAAGAAGCCACATGGAAGCACAAGTCCACTGTGCTTCAGTAACAGGTAAGTAATAGCATTCTCTTAGAATATAATTGCAGTCACATCCCATACCTCCTTGTAACAATTTTACTTTGTCCTGCCTTAACTTCTGAGGATGTAAAAGTAGTCATTTGCCAAGATACTACTAAAGTTCAATTTGGACTAAAGGAGTTTATCAATTATTGGCATAAAATTTAAATCACACCAATTGAAATATATCCCATTCAAGCTTCTATAAATAAATTAGGGACTATGAATGTGTAATTTATTTTCTCAGTGCAGCGGCCAATTAGATCATGATTAAAGAAGTCCAGGATTTTTCTCCATGACAGGGGAAGTCAATCTCAGATATCTGAGATTTTGATTTCCAACAGTAACCAGTAAGGAGATGGGTTACCTTAAATAGCCTCCTCATTTAGAAATTTTAAAATTATAAGTATTTCTTTTACTACTAATATGAAGCAGTTACTGATAAGAAAAGATACTGTGGGCTTTCATGATAAATTCAACATAAGTCAATTGTGTGAAGTGGCTCCTCAGGAAGTCAATTCATATCAGTCACATTAACAGAAATGAAGTTTCATGTGACCATTTCAGATGAGGCCTAATTCGAGGACCTGCAATATATATAGTTCAACGCAAGAAGAGCTGGCTGCAAATATCTGAAAGGGCAGTCACCGGGAAAATCAAACACAAAGTGTTCTTCAAATTTTACGAGGACAAACCTAAAAAGCGGGTATGAGTTACAGGTTTCAGCCAAACATTTTCTTTTCTTTTTTTAAAAAATCAATCAATTAATTAATTGTATGTGACAGTGGAATGCATTGCAATTCTGATTACACATATAGAACACAATTTTTAATGTCTCTGGTTGTATACAAAGTATATTCACACCAATTTGTGACTTCGTACATGTACTTGGATAATAATGATCATCTCACATTTCACCATCATTTATAACCCCATGCCCCCTCCTTTCCCCTCCAACCCCTCTGCCCTGTCTGGAGTTTGTCGATTCCTCCCATATTCCCTCCCCCTATCCTAATATGAATCAACCTCCTTATATCAAAGAAAACATTCAGCATTTGTTTTTTGGGGATTGGCTAACTTCACTTAGCATTATCTTCCTTAATTCCATCTATTTACCTGCAAATGTCATGATTTTATTCTCTTTTATTGCTGAGTAAAATTCCATTGTGTATATATGCCACTTTTTTTTTATTCATTCATCTATTGAAGGGCATCTAGGTTGGTTCCACAATTTAGCTATTGTGAATTGTGCTGCTATAAGAGACTCACCCACAAAACTACAATTATCTTATATTAGACAAAGGTGCCAAAAACATGCATTGGAGAAAGTTAGCCTCTTCAACAAATGGTGCTGAGAAAACTGGAAATCCATGTGCCACAAAATGAAATTAAACCCCTATCTCTCACCATGCACAAAACTCAACTCAAAATGGATTAAGGATTTAGGAATAAAACCAGAGACCCTGCGTCTAATAGAAGAAAAAGTAGGCCATAATCTCCATCATGTGGGATTGGGCCCCAACTTCCTTATTAATAAGACTCCTGTGGCGCAAGAATTAAAACCAAACATTTTCTAAACCCAAAATAATCCACGATAAGAATGGCTGGTCTGTGTGCAGGGAGGCCTGGATATGGAGAACAGGAAGCGCAGGCAGGAGAGACATTTATTAGGGACATTGCAAAAGGGCATATTGCCTCTTGGGTCAGAGGACTCCTCTTCTTCTTTCAGCTGAGCCCCTTTCCCTTTTCTGCTTCCATTACCCTTCTTTAGGAACTCTTAAGGAGGCTGAGTCTAGGGTTCTATAATTAGCCATGGATCAGCTGTGCCAATTAGAGCTAACTCAGCATCCTCCTGCTTCCAAATTACAAACCTGACTAAAGTCAAGATGAATCTTCTCCCTTGTTAAACTGACTCTTTAAGGACGGTCATGTTGTCACATAACAGGTGCTCATCAGATCCAGACTGATTTTAGCCAAGATAGCTTGCACTATCATTTGCTCTCAAGCTGACTTACAGGCAGGCACAAGCCAGGCACCTTTTCAGGTGTGTTAAGTTAAGCTTGCAGGATGGCCTTTCTCCTGGGTGGACACCATCCCTCCAAGGTCACCAGGTTGCCTGGTTCTCCACCCAGCACTGCCCTCACTCTTACCTGCTTCACTCCACACTGTCTGAGGGAGGATTCTCATGAGAACAGGCTGAGAGAAAGTCTCTTCAGGCCTTTATAGATCCCAACTGCCTGCATTTGTTCTTTCTGTCCCTGGGGCACGTTCTGGCAGAGAGCATGACCAGGAGTCTGAGCAGGGAGATGGGAAGTGGGGCCTCCTACCTTGACAGGTGAAGCATCGGATGTGGAAGTGGTTGTTGTGGACCCGAACAACTTCTCCTTTGCAGGTGTCTCCGCATCGGTAGCACTGGATGACATTGGAGCCGCCCCGGGGATTGTAAGGATTCTGCTGATAAGGAACTGTGGGAAGAAACGAGAGGTTAATTCTTCAAAAATAGAAACACGAAACTTCCATGAGACATTATCATAATTTAACTGGAAGAAAAAGCAGAAAGGGTAGACATGACTAGATGTCCTCCACCCCAAATCCATCATCCTGACGAGTGTGCCAAGCTCAACAGCACTGAGTTGCACTAGGATGTGAGTCCATAAACCTCCGTAAGCAGGCAAAGACTTAGGAGTGAGCATAACTTTTCCTTGCAGTAAAGGAAGCCAAATTCTGGAACAGAAAATAAACAAATAAAAAAAGGGGAACTAGAGTAGAGTCATGTGCTGCATAACAATGTTCCAGTCAATGTCAGATAGATGATGCTGGTTTCAGGACATCAGAATGGAACTGAAAATTTCCTACTGCCTGATGGTGTTGTAGCTGTCGTAATATCCTAGTGCAATACGTTAGTCATGTATTTGTGGTGATGTTGGTGTAACAAACCTGTTGCATTGCTAGTCCTACAAAAGTATAGCCCAATAGAATTACATACAGTACCTATTACTTGACAATGATAACATATGAATGTGTTACTGGTTTATGTATTTGCTATCACTATACTTTTTATTGCTGCATTATAGTTGTACATAATAAGAGGTTTCATTGTTACATATTTGTACATGCATATAACACCATTTGGTTAATTTCATACCCTAGTACTTCCTCTTTCCCTCCCCTCCTCTCTTTCCCTAATTCCATTTCTATTCTACTAGTTTTCTTTCTATTTTCATGAGACACCTCTTTTTTTCCCCTTTAGCTTCCACATATAAGAGAAAATATATGACCCTTGACTTTCTGAGTCTGGCTTATTTCACTTAAGACAATGCTTTCAAGTTCCATCCATTTTCCTGAAAATAATTTTGTTCTTTTTTACGGCTGAATAAAACTCCATTGTATATTTATACCACATTTTCTTTATTCATTCATGTGTTGATGGACACAAATGTTAGTTCCATAATTTGGCTATTGTGAATCGTGTTGCTGTAAACATGGGTGTGCACATATCACTATGGCATGACGACTTTAATTCTCTACGATCAATACCAAAAAGAGTGGGATAGTTGTGCCATATTATTCTATCCTTATTATTATTATTTTAGAGTGAGATCCTTATACTTAAAAAGAAAAAACTTTACTATAAAACAGTATGCTAGTAACAGTATAATACATCTTGTGTTTATCATGTTTCTTGATTGTATCAAGAGGCCAGGCCAAGTGATTGGCCTACATCATCCTGATTTGTGAAGGTATATGCTATGAGGTTTGTGCAATCACAAAATCATCTAAAACGTATTTCTCAGAACCTATCCCCATGATTAAGTTATGGATAGTTGTATTTCAAAGTCAATCATCCAGAAACTCAATTTCTTGGGTGACCTCTGGATCAAAATTATGTTCCAAACTTGTCAAGGGGAATTTGGGTCCTGAAAAATCACTCTTGAGTCTCAAAGAAATGGTGATGGCCCTGGCTCCATCTGGCCTTTGAGTTAATCAAGTTATAGCCCCTCTCTGGGCCTCAGTTTTCACATGTATAAAATGAAGGTGGTTGGTCAATGGTAGCACAGAGTTTCTAGACAGAAGGCCTGAAGGGAGGCATCCTGGCTGGAAAGGGGCTGTTGAAGGGGTTCATTTTAAAGCTGCCTTTGAACAGTACTTTCCACAATTTTAAGAAAATGTTCAATGTGTGCAACTGAGAAAAAAGGGTTGGTAGTAATTGTGAACAGGGCTGAAGCCACTGGGAACTAGACTGCTGTGGACAGCATTTGATGATGCCGAGAAGCTCCACTGAAATACTAAGTCTCTTGTTAACCTGCTCGTAGTTACCCTTAGACATCTCCTTTCCCTGAAATAGATGCTCAGCTTGACCATCTTAAATCTGTTTATCTGGCATAGAAGAATTAGAGTTACCTGCCTAGATCACAGAATCCCAGAGTTGGAAGAGATATTATAAGCTGTCTGGTCCAACTTCACTATGAATAAGTTGTAGAGATAATTTTGCCAGTGAGGAACCAAATCTCTCCTATAGGCATCTCCTAGTGGCCCAGGGAGAAGGTTCCTCAATTCACACTCAGAAACATTAATTAATTTAGGATTAATTAGAACCCCTTTCTTGACAGTGTAGTAGTCATTTTGTTAACTAAAATTTAAATGTTTTCCTCCTGACACATGAAGAATTGCATGTGGAAACTTGCTGAATAATGAAATGTGAATGGAAATTGTGTGTGTCCCTTTTGGTTGGAAACCTTTGGAGCCAGATATGATCTGCCATATTACCCTTTCCCTAACCCACCAACAAGAGACAGATGTCTCAGTTGACGTCCAGTAGGCATCAGCTTGGACCCCTGATAGAGGAGTCATGGAATAGAACTCCACACCAACCCACGATAAACATCTATCATAAGAAATAACAAGTCTTTGTTTTCATAGCCTCCAAAACTTTTTGTTACTGCAGCACAACCTAAACTATCCCATCTCATCCATCTGGGATCTGATACTTCTTTCTAAATAAACTTGATATTACGTGTGTTCTTCTATAGTTATATTCATATTTTCAAAGAGGTCTATGGTGTCCATAACTGATTTCATCCATTTCCCTCTTTCATCCACATGTGGCAAGACCTTTCTCTCTCCAGATAGTAGCAATATGAAGTGTGGGGGTCAGGGAAGCTAGGCTGAGATCGGCCACATCTGCTTCTGTCCTGGAAGCCACCTCATTTCCAGTAAGATTATATATTCTTGGCTAATTAGAAACAAAGAAATAGGACCTCTGGTTATCTCTTATGTATAAGGAGATATAAGATCCCGGTTGCTGAGCCCTGAAACTGGCTTCTGACAATTTTGCTAAGTAGGGTAGGAAAAAAAGTCCATTTCACAATCTTTCTCCTTCCTCTGCAGCTCTTTTTCCTTTCTTTCTTAAATTCAAGATAATAAAATAAAATAAACAAATCAAGTAGTTAACTAATCATTAATTCTTTGGATTTTATTTATGTATTTATTTATTGTGGTGTTAGGATGGAACCCAGGGCCTTATGCGTGCTAGGCAAGCACTCTACTACTGAGCTAAACCCCAGCCTTAATTAACTCTTCAAGTGGGTTAACGTGAAGAAGTGCGTTATATATCCTGCAGATGTTCACTAGTATCACAACCATCACACCCTCCCCATGGCTCAGAGCAGTCCTTCCCCAACCCTAGCATGTCCATAAATATTCTATTTAGCCCAATCTTCTTTTCTTCTTTTTTTTTCTGATTCCTGCTCAATACCCCCAGGAAAATATTTCATTCTCTCTTCCCCTTTATGAGAAAAATGTAAATCCTGTTTATATGAGCAGTGCAGTGATCTATCATTGCCAAGGGAAGCAAAGCTGTGAGTCTGGAAATAAAACAAGAACAAATAGTCCGACCATCCCCACCAGTGACAGGGCTCTTGAACGTCTCCCAAAGTCCCTGCCGAGTCACTGCACACATTTTTATCTATGTCTCCTAATTCTACCCGCCTTATGGTTCAGGAATCAACTTCCAAGATCGATTAAATCTTTCTAATTTGGTTCAATTTTCTGGGGAAGTGGATTTGTGAGAATGATCCTCAGTCAGAACTCAGTCTTTGAACCCCCTTATCTAAAAGATATAAAGTCAGAGTGAGGGGATGGATTAGGAAAATAGGCCTGTTGGGGCAGAAGGACTAGCTCTGTTGCTTCCCTCGGATGAGGATGTTGCTTTGGTGATGGTGAGTGTGGCCAGGGCTCCAGGAGTGTCTGATGCTTGTAAATAGACTCATACACAGAAATTCATGCATCCATGAATCGTTGGTGCAAATTCTTCCAGATTGCTGATGCAAGCTGTGGCTATAAAAGGACAGTAAGATTCGATCATACACGTGTGGCAAGACCTTCCTCTCTCCAGATAGTAGCAATAGGAAGTGTGGGGGTTAGGGAAGCTAGGCTGAGATCGGCCACATCTGCTTCTGTCCTGGAAGCCACCTCGTTTCCAATAAGGTTTTATATTCTTGGCTAATTAGATCAGGAGCTTAATCCAACCTTATTCTGTGTTTGTGTAGGTATGTTGGGGGAAGTGTTTCTTTCCATCAATTTGTGGCTTCCTTGAAATGCTGAGACATGGGGCTGGGGATGTGGCTCAAGCGGTAGCGTGCTCGCCTGGCATGCGTGCAGCCCGGGTTCGATCCTCAGCACCACCAACCAAAGATGTTGTGTCCGCCGAAAACTAAAAAAAAAAAAAATGCTGAGATATGTGTGTATTTGTTGTTGCTGTAGTACCAAGGATTGAGTCCAAGACCTTGTTAGGCAAGCACTCCACTGAGCATGTCCCCTAAATGCTGAAATTTGATTGATTTTCTGCTGGTTATTATTTCCACCAATGTTTATCCCAGTAAGTATTAAAATTAAGAGTTCAGTCACGTGATTTATAACTTTCATATTATGGGAAAAATGTCTTTTTAAAAAATTTTTATTATTAGTTGTTCGGGAAAATGTCTTTTTTTGAAAAAATTGATTTATATATGTGTTATGGTTTAGATGTGAAGTGTCCTCCAAAAGCTCATGCGTGAGACAACACAAGAAGGTTTAGAGAAGAAATGATTGGGTTTAGAGTCTTAACCCCATCAGTGAATTAATACCCTGATGGCGATTAACTGAGTAGTAACTAAAGGCAGGTAGGATGTGGCTGGAGGAGGTGGGCACTGAGGGGTGTTCCTTTGGGACCATTGGGGTATATATTTTGTATCTGGAGCATGGAGTCTCTCTCTCTCTCTCTCTCTCTCTCTCTCTCTCTCTCCTTTCTGATCATCATGTGAGCTGCTTCCCTCCACCACACTCTTCTGCCTCTTCTCCCTGAGGAATGGAGCTGGGCTTCTATAGACTAAGACCTCTGAAATTGTGAACCCTCAAATAAACTTTTTCTCCTCTACAGTTGTTCTGGTCGAGTCTTTTAGTTACAGCAGTGAAAAGCTGACTAAAA